ATAGGCTCAGTGGTTTTAGAGCAATCCATATCAGAATTACTTGATATTATTTTGTTGTTGCTGCTGTTTTTCAAAATGCACAGGTCCAGGCTCTTCTCAAGAATTACAAATCTAAATCTCCAGAGATAAGGCCTCAACAGGTAGATTTTTGGAAATGGTTCACCAGCAACTTTGATATATATTTATCTAATTTCTGACCTAAACTATGGCTAAAATAAATTTTTGATTTTTTATTATCTAAAGAGAATACAAAATAGCAAAAAAAAGTCAGAAATGATTAAAGAACTTCACTGAATCAAATAACAGGAATTCAACAATGGTTGGTTGCTGTATTGTATGTTGTCTTACAATTAGCTGTTCAGGTTACCAAATACAAAAAAGCAAAATTGTTTTACAAAAAGTTATAAGGACTGGCAAACGCAGAGGCCTGAGTTCAATCCCTGGTTCTGCAAAAAAAAAAAAAAAAAAAAAAGTAATTAAAAAGGACAAGAAAAAAATTAAGCATCAGTTAATGAAGTTACTAACAATCTGCATTGTTAAAAAGTTTGACATATAAAGGCAATGCTCCTGTTTGTAGACCAGCAGAAATCAGCAGTACAGATATGTAAGTCATCCTGTACACATACATAAATATATTTTCCCTCTCCTGTCCTTTTCCTCATCCCAGTTTGAGATTTTTTTCCCTTTCATAGTATATAGGACCATAATTCATCATAGCTAAATCTTGGAAACAACCCAAATGCCCATCAACTAAGGAATGTATAAAAAATATATATTTTTATACAATGGAGTATTATTCTGCTATAAAAACGATAAACTCAAGGCTTTTCTAGGTAAATAAATGCAACTAGACACCATATTCATAAGTGAAATAAATCAGACCTGCATATGTAAACATCATATTGTATTCTTAGTGTCGGGCGCTCGTTGAAATAACACGCGAGTCAGATGGTGCTTAAGCTTCTCTTTATTCTTCTCTCCCCCGAACTTCTCCCCGGAACTACTACTCAACCGAACTACTTCTCTGAACTACTTCCCGAACTCCTCCGCCGAACTACCCCGGACCTTCCGTAACATCCTCTTTTATACTCCCCAGGAACAATCAAATAAGGCTGCGTGTCTTAAACCGGCCAATGGGCAAGTGCCTGGTTGTAACAGCTCTTAGCCAAATAGAATGCACCAGCAGAGGTTAAGCGTAGCTCTGGAAATCCCCCGTGGGGGAGGGCAAGCATGTAGGGTGCCGGCGCCCAACATCTTAGTGTAAGAACCTGAAAGAGTAAATAAAATCTAAACTAAATTTTTTATAGTTATATTTGCTCCAGTTACTAGTTTTTATTACTATGTGTTTGTAGTGCATGGTTATTGCATTTACTGTGAGAAGTTGGTACATATACATAATACATCTTCATTCTTTTTACTTCCCTTTCTCCTCCACTGCCTTTTCTCTCTCTCCATCTCTAGATTCATTTCTCATTTGCAAAATGTCTGCCTAATTATTGTTCATCCTTTTATTTTGCTTTTAAATAATTTATGCTTTGGTTTCCATTTTAAAACCTTGTTAGAAATTTGAGGGATTGAGATGGTAAAAGTAAAACAACCTTTATAATTCTGGATATTTGAGTGAGCTAAGTTTGGGTGACCAGATTTTAAAAAGAATAAAAATTAAGGGGCCGGGGAGATAGCTCAGTGGAATAAGCACTTCCTGGCAAGCACAAGGGCCTGAGTTCAAAACCTGGTTCCACCAAAAAAAAAAATAATTAAATAAAAATTGGGAAATTGAGTAGAGGTGTTAACAATTTGCATTATTAAAGAAATTTGACCTGTAAAGGCATAAAATGATTTAAGTGCCTGTAGTATGTCTGCTTCATTAAAATTAGCTCACATAGTAGACTTTTACTTGTGTTCATCAGTCCCTTCCAGTAGGTGAAGTAAAAATATATTTGAGAAAACCTGGGAAAAGTAAAGCTACTTCAGGTTCTTAATCTTTTGTGCTGACCCACCCTCTTTTCAAAATAGTATTTTCAAATGAAAAAATACGTAGTGATTGATGGTCTTAAATCTTACATTTGCTCAACAATATTAACAGGTTTAATAATAACTGGCATAATTTTCAAGTAGTGACTAGTGTGAATACTATTTTGAGATAATCAGAAATTCTAATGTGATATGAAAACATCTGTGATTTTTGTTGGTGACAAAATATCAAGTACTCCTAGTGGTATTATGTTTATTCCTACACTCAGTATTGCATAAAATGTCCATGTTCAGAGTTTAGTGACAATAAATACAAATTTCCTCCAGATCAATTAATAGATCTTATGACTCTTATTATAGACCCCTAAGGGGGTTCTAGGTTAAAAATCCATAGTCTACAGAGAATAGTGTTACTATTATGGGTAGTAACTAATAATGATGTTACTCAAACCTATGGTGGTGAAGCTATATATATGTATGTCACACTTTATAAAACAGAAAATGTTTCTAAAAAGATATAAGATAAATCATTGTGTTCAAACCTATTCCTCTTTGTTTTTATTGTAAAATTGAAAATAGAATTCTATGAAAAATATGACTCAAATATAATAAAATTTCTTTAAAACTAGTGACTTTTTTGTATTTTTTAGGGAAGGGTCTACAGAGTGTCCAGGGTCTCACTACTAGATTGGTCTCATAGTGATCCACCTATTTACAGCCTCCCAAGACCTGGGATTGCAGGTGTGCGCCACCATGCCCAATCTCAATTGCTGTCTCAGCATGCCCCAGTGGTGGGGCCAGCATGCCAGGCCCAGGGAATAGTGACTATTTTAAAAAAATAATGTATGACAAATATTTTTAGAAATATTTTCAGAAATATTTTTACTATTGTGTAACGGAAGAAATATAAAAAATAATTTTGTTTCCTCTTTGCCATGTACAAGACATACTATCATTTTGTGCACACTATTATATTTAGTAGTAAAATAGTTACATGAGAGTATTACTGCTCTGACCCCCATTTCACAGACCTTGGTAGCTGTATTGGTATCAGACAAACTTGGATTTATTACTGGCTGCACGACTTACCAGCTGAGTGTCATTGGTCAAAGTTTTTACTTAACCCCTATAAATTTTCTCAATGGTAAATAAAAAAATCATATAGTTATACATTTCTTAATGACAGGGATATATTCTTAGAAATTTGTCATTTTTATCATTGTACAAATATCATAGAAGGTACTGAAGCAATATCAGCTATAGTTTAAGTTAATACGTGGTATAGTCTCTTGATACAGCCAACAGCAGTGGTAAAGGCAAGTTGTCTAAAGCTACTACTGATATAAATGTGCCATACTGTTTAACAACACTTTTTTTTCATAAGTAGAAGGAACAAGCCATAAAATAGCGTTGCAGAGTAAAGTATACTCAAGACATAAATAAGTAAAGGTGTTATCAAGTATTAAACCTAATTTTATGTGGCTATGTCATTATTTGAGTGTCAGAGGTAGCTTTGTTTACATTGATATCACCCTAAATGTATATAATATGTAGCACTTCCGTGTAAGTAGGTGATTTTATTTCCAGTATAATCTTAGGAGACTACTTTTAGTTATATATGTATCCGTCATCTGACCACATGCATAACTATGTTTAAATAACATGTACTCATCATGATATTATGAAATGATGCATGAAAATAATGTGAAAGCTTACCTGCCAGGTGATATGCTTGTCAGATCAACATTGATCTACATCTTTTGAAGTCTCAAAATCAATTCTCAATCTCCATCTCTTTAATACAGTTGAAATGTCCTCTTCCTTGAAATACTATCTTCATTTGGCCTGTAGCATATCACTACTTTTGGTTCTTTTACCTCATTGACATGCCTATAACCTTCTCAGTCTTCTCTGCTACATTCTTCTAGTCTTTAAAGATTGAAAAGTTGAATTATCCAAAAGACTTTTCTTGGCTTTCTCTGACTGTATATGATCTCAGAATATTGAACTATCCCAAAGGCTTCTTCCTTGTACATTTCTTATTATATGATCTTTTATGTTACCTGTTTGAAATTCTATATATCAGCAAGCCTATAAAATTAAAGCAAAGACCCCTATGATCTCTGTAGACTTACATTTCTAGCTGCCTGTTCAATATTTATACTCAGCTGTTTATTAAATATTTCAAATTTAACTCAAATATTAACATTTCATTTGATTTCTCACAAACCTCCTCCCATATTTTGTCCTCAATAAATGCCAATTCCATTAATTCAGTTTCATAAGTTAAAGTTTCTTGCATATAGCATATTCATTTAGGAAATGCTGTCCATTATACCTTCAAAATAACTCAGAATCTAATCCTTTTTCACCGTGTCCACCATCACCCTAATTGAAGCCCTCAGCCTTTTCCCCAGAGTACTGCACTCATTTTCTAACTGGCCTCCTTTTTTCCCATTGCTATTTGCCTATGGTTTTCTTTCTGTAGCCAGGAATGATATTATTTAAAACAATATTGACTCAGACCTAGACAGAATTGCGCAATAGCCTTTTATCTCATATGTTAAAATCTTTGAAACTGGCTGTGCGACCTAGCGTGATCATATCTCCTGTCACTCAACACCATGCTGTACATCTTATCTATTGCTATATTGGTTCATCAGACATCTCATGGGTCTATTATACTTCCCCTCAGTTCATCCTGAAGATACCTACAGGGTACACACATACACTCATCTTCTTAAATACTTCCCTCCAATATGACATTTCCAAGAAGCTTCCACTACCCACCCTACTTAAATTGCAAATCACCCCAATATTCCATATGTTTCCTGCTGCTTTATTTTTTTCTGCATAGCATTTGCCACCATCTGATATAGTATATATTTTACCCATATTTCTGTCTGTCTCACCCAACTTGAACATTAGGGCCATACTGGCAGATATTTTTATGACTTTTGTTCACTGCTGTATCCTAGTATAAAAATTTTGTTAAATGACTATTTTTTCCACTTAATATTCATCAGGTACTACCCCATTTATGCCTGACCCTAAACTCATGGATCATGGGCAGTCCCATCCAGAAGATGAAGATATGTACAGCACTAGAAGCTAAAGTAGACTGCATAAAGAAGTACAAAATGTGTGAAGTTGTGAATGATGATGAAAAAATTCATGAAATGGGTAACTGACATACAGTGTAACTTAAAATCAAGTTTT